CCGTCTTTCAAAAGTTCACAATGAAGTTTTATAAGGGTGACATAAATTATTTTTGTATTAGATAGAATTTATATATAAATTCATAATTATTTTGTTTGATTGTTTATTCTAGGGTTAATATATTTATATGGACTGAACTTTGACTAAAATAAACATTCTGGTCAATCTTTCGATCTATAACATCTTGGCCCAAACTATACATCAAAATAACTAAACTAGCCAAACCTGACGTTTGACCGTTAACTTGGATGGTCAAACGCGTTGACTAACGGTCAACGCGCTATGCCACTGCCAACTCAGCAAATATAAATTTAAAAAATTCATGAATTCCACATAATATATATTTCTGAATTATTATATTTAAATTAAAAATTAAAATAAAAATAATAATAAAGGACTCACACAACCCTTTCTCTTTCTTCTAACTTTTCTTTCTCTTCCTTCTACGCGAAGATCTCTTTCCCCAACAAGGAGGCCGCCGGCGGCGCCTGGCGATGAGGGGAGTTTCAAGAGACTGAAGAGTGGGATCAACAACGGGAATGGTGCCGCCGAGTCCGTGTTCCAGCAGCAGGAGTTTTCGCAGCATCGGAACCAGAGGTGGGTGCATCTTCCTCTAACGATTTGCAAGGCTCTGATGTTCGGATCTGAGTTGGTGGCGGAAGAACAGAAGGAAGATGAAGAAGAAGGCTAAAGTAGCCCGGAGATGCGACGGAGGAGCTATAGAAGGTATAATAGATTTGAGAAAATCGATTTTGCTTATTGATGAGATTTGAGAAGATTGATTTCGCCGCCAATTTCAAATCCCATAACAAATGGACCATTGGAGTTCAATTTCCCCCTTGGAATGGGTTTTCTAGCCGCTAATCGTCATCAATTCCAATCGGGTTTTTTTATTGAGGCTTAATGGAATAGCGCCGTAGATGAAGGGTTCCACCGGTGGCGACGACAAAGTGGGGAAGAAGGCTTCCAGTGGTGGCGACGACGAAGTGGAAACAATTGGGGATTTCTCTACACGGTTTGGGCATCCGTTGGGTACGAGCTCCTGTTGACCCTAACCGAGTCTTCTTCAAAAAGGTGGTGAGCGGACGTTCAAGGTGATGGTGGACGTACTGGTGTTCCCGACGACGGTAGTCAGTGGTGCGGGGCTGTTCGACAGCCGGGAGTGGAAGGGGAGAGGAGATTTAGGGGTTTAATTTCTTTTTTTTTTTTACTTTTAATTTTCTATTTAATTTTATTGTAATAATTCAAAATTACATAATATGTGGAAATTATTAATTTGTTAAGTATTTTTATGCTGACTTGGCGCGTTGACCGTTAGTCAACGCGTTTGACCGTCCAAGTTAACAGTCAAACGTCAGGTTTGGCCAATTTAGTTATTTTGATGTATAGTTTGGATCAGGATGTTATAGATCGAAAAGATTGGCCATGATGTTTATTTTGGTCAAAGTTCAGGCCATACAAATATATTAACCCTTTATTCTATTATGATTTATCGTACTTTGTTAAACTGATAATTATGATTAGGCAAAATTCACTTTCATAGCCATAACTTTGGACTTTGTGACAAATATAGCCAAATTCTGAGAAATACACAGAAATAGCTAAAAATTTGAAAATGCGTTGACAATTATAGCCATTTCCGTTATTAAATGTGACGTCGTTAGGGATGCCGTTAGTTACATGTTCGCGTCGCTGAGGTGGCCGAATTATGGACTCCTCGTCGGCGCCAACTGGACTGGCTTTGCCACCACCGCGCCACGTCATCATGAGGAGAGAGAACCAGTTGGGACAATTAAATATGCCCAGCGACTTCTCCTCCATCTAATTTTCGATTTCATCTTCCTCCCAGAAAAAGCCTGGTCGAAAACAGCTTTGGCCTCAAAATCGGGAGCTACATTTCCAACAAGAGGAAGCTCACTCTGCAAACAGAACGCGCAACATACAAATAGAAGAACAATAACCCAGCTGAAATTACAGCGAAATTCGATGTGGGAATATGGAAAGGAACCCGAATTAATTTAACAGACAAAAGAAATTGATTAGGAGGGGGTGAGAGAATCATATAGTGGCTTTGACGACGAAGCTCCTGAGGGCGAGGTTAACGGAGGAGCGAGCATTGGTGAAGGCGGAGGATTGGAAGAGGGGCTTGCGGAGGCCGAAAAAGGAGTTGGGAAGAGGGGCTAGGGTTTTGGAAGGTTTAGATAAGGGAGAGGCCATGGATTTGGTGGCGGGATGGAGGAGATAAGAGCGGAGGAGGTAGCTGAGCACGCCATGGCGTATTGCCGGCGGGAGGTTCCAGCAGTTGCTGCTGGTGAGGGTAACTGTGTGGGAAGTGGCGGAGAAAGGAGAGTGAAGCAAACAGAGGTGAGAGTAACAGAAGTGAGGGGCAAGGAGTAACAGAGGGGAGGCAGAGGCAAGGAGTACTCACCAAAACGGATTAGGGTTCGAGCTTTCATCCAACATAATGTATGAGATTTATCTAAATTAGGCGTTCATATGTTGTGGTCTACACTCTACATATACAAATATACATTATAGGAACAATATCAAGCTTTATATTTTATGAGTCTAAAAGGGATGAACCTTCAACTCTTGAGTGGTTATTCAAAGTATTAAGTATGTGTATATTAGATATATTGCTATTTATTTATCTTCTTAATTTGGTTTGGCTGGTTAGGAGTGTCTGAAACCAAACAAAACCACCTAAACCAAACAAGCTAAAAACTTTAACCAAACTAAACCAATTATCCAAATTAACCAAACCAAATTATCCAAATATTACTGGTTAAAACGGTTACCATGGTAACCACACCGTTTGAACACCCCTACCAATAAATGTCCTCCTCCATGTGTCAATTCATATGAACAGGTTAGAAAGATTTTGGGATTAATATGCGGTAACTCATTGGGAGATTTTTATGGTGAATTTTTTTTTTTATATTTCTTGTTTGGGTTGTTTCTTTGTGACTAATAACATTTCAATTTTTCGCTTTTGGTGAAACTTTCCATCCTCTTTTTCACTCCATATTTCTTCTCAAGGTTTGTTTGCCATGCATCTTCTAACAATAGAAATAACCAATGTTTTCAAGATCGGACCGGATATTAAATTGAAAAAATTAGTGGTTGATGGTTCATTGATTAATCATTATAGATCATTGGATAAATCGTTGATAGAATCCTTCACACGCTCTAGACATAAAATTCCTATATAATACACTAACTAGCGTGGACCCCGGCCATTTGGCCGGACGAAGATGAGGTATGAAATTTGATAATGTAATGGGATGTATAGCTTATTGTTGTATAGTTTTTTTTTTTTTTGGAAACACGTGATAAAAATAGTGAATTTTAGTAGAAAAGAGACATGAATGATGCAACGAATAAAAAATCAGTCTTATGAACCAAAATCAAGTGCATGTTACCTTGTGAAACAATATTGTTTCTGGTAATATGATGAGGTGGAGTAGGTTTTATAGAAACCGAATTCCAGAAAATCGAATAAAAAATCGCATATCCCGCCGATTTTCGGGAAATGAGCATCTCACAATCGTTGCTAGCTTTTACTCGGCCCGTTGGCCGATTAATTTGCTTTATAAAACTTTCATCTTCTCATCATTGTGCTTTCTGGTTTTTTGCCAAGCCATGATAAAATCTAAAGAAATCAAGAATGAACAGCACGATTTGGGATAGGAACCACCGTTCCTGTATCCCTAGAAAATGGTGGTAAACACGGACTCACCTGCCAAACTGGTTTGGATTGAGATTTTTATAGGGTATCAGAGAACCATGTGATTATAAATTAGACTTGATCAAAATGGGCCAAAACTTGAAATTCAGCTTGTTTGACCGACCCATGCCAAACTCTAATTATTCTTTACTTTTAAACTTTATATTCGAAAATAAAAAATAATGAAAGAAAAGAGATGACTACAATTCACCATTTGCACATCACTGATTCGGGAATAAAACTATAGAATTTCGAAAGGAAACTGAAAATGTTTAGGATCGTTTTAATGTTAAAAATAACCAAATAGATCTTTCTGTTTAGTTTTTTACTAACAAATACCAAACGATTCCCTATAATATACACTATAATTTAATCATTATGATATCAAATAATTACACAATATATATTTGAAATGATAAAAATTGGACTAATTGAGTTGGTCGAAGTTGAACCATTGAATAACTTTAAAATACATTATATTTTAGCCACTAAGATATAAAATAATAGCATAGTATATATTATGCTAGAGAAAATAGCTTGTTTTAGAATGGCAAACCCATGATGTTCATTTTTTTATTTGATGGGCAAATCCCATGTAGGTCAGACCTGTTCAACTCTTTTATTTTATGATTAGCGGTTAACCCATTAGAATCCATGCATTAGTTTATTGTTAATTTTTTTCTTTTTAGCAATAAAAAGAAGTATTGGTTTTGCCTTTTCATATATATATTTTACCACCATGGAGAAATAAAAGGACTTAAAGAAAAAAATTGACACTCCTGGACCCGTTTAAATCCGCATGTGTACGGTAAGTTGGCCCGTTCCACAGAGGAAAAAGAAAAAAAATTGACACTCCCTATTCTACTCTTCCTACAAACGCTCCTGGAGCAGGGAATTTTAAATGGGGGAAGAGTTTTTTCCGCTCTGCAATTATATGTTTTTAATTTAAAAAGATACAACAAATGTACTTAGTGTGATTGGTTATGATCTTTGTTTTTCTTTAAAATGGTCATGGTTCGAATCCTAGTGTCTTTTTAATGAATAAAAAAAGTAATTGTGAAGACCAAAATGTCCTTCCTACTTTCACTCTCGATGCAGGAAATTTGAAATGGGGCTTCAAGTTTTCTCATTTGGCTTTTATTTATTGTGTAGATTTAGTCTAGTCATTTTACCCACCGCTAACTAACCCATGGCCTGGGGGGAAACGGAATAAAAACTGGCCTTTAATTTCAAAATTCCCATACCATCGCTCCTGAAACTTACCCTGCCCTAGGTTTTGGTATTTCTTCTCGATCGATCGAGTTTCTGTCTCTTTCGACCTCTTGATCACTAACGAACGAGCCATGTCTCGCTTCTCCCTCAGCCATCGCGGGTACGTCTATCTCTGCCTTACTTTCAGCACCTTAAACCTCTGCAATGCCTGGATCAACTGGCAATATTGCAACAAGCATAAGAGAGTTGCAATGGAGAATCTTGCAGCTCTGGATCGAGCTGCTGATGCTAATTTTCAATTGGCTCTAGACCTTGAGAGGGCTCAAAAGCAGAAGAAGATGGAGGTAATTAATAGGATTTCTCCCTTTATTCAATTTGGTTAATTTACTGGTTGAATTGTTAGGTAGTCAAGTTTAGGGTTTTATGAACTTGGCAATGAACAGAACAGGTAGACTGACTGACTGATGGATCTTTTTCTTCGATCTCTCTCTTTCTTCTCTTCAGGATGAGAGAGATGCTTAGGCTGTTCGGACCAGAGTGGGTGGGTTGAAGGTGAAGGTGAAGATGAAGGAAACGAGGTGAAGAAGAAGGCTGACTGCCATTAGTTTGTTTTACTTTTAATTCGCTTGTAAAGTTTGTACTGAAAGCACCATTTTTCAATATTAAGAATTAGGTTCGTCAAACTGTCTGGTATGTGTTGGAGACTAGCGAGTGTGTTGCTTCTGTTGAACAAGGTTTCTAATTATTAAGCCTGGCTGGTTTACTATGTCGTCTGAAAAAATCTTACCAATTTTTCTACAGCTCCTGTATGCTGTATTCACTGGATTCTACTTTAAACAAAAAAAAAAAAAAAAAAATTGTTGAGTTAGTACAGGGGACCTCCCCCAATGTTATTGATAGTGAGGAAAGAAACAAGTCAGGTTCTAGCTTTCATAAGTTTTGGCAATCATTCTGTGTGATTTCTTTATTCTATTCATCACCAGCTTGTTGCTTTGCCAGCAGGTAAGGTAAGGCTTTCTCTCTCCAGGATCACATTGATTTCACATTATATCCCTGCATTGCATTGTAGGAAAGACTATACTATATTGTAATCACAGTGTGATTGATGTTTCTGTGTCAAATCATAGTGAACTACCAGTTGATCGAATGGAAAATTGATGTTTTACAGGGCGAAGCCCCATTATATCTTCCCAATAGTTATGGATCTTGTTTCAGTGGAATTGTTCTCACCTCACATGTTGTATTCCAACAATGAAGATCCATAAGAGCTAATCCTCCTTCAGCTTTGGGGTACGTCAAAAAATGCCAAGTAGCAACAGCCTTTTTTTCCGGCCTCCCTCTCAATAGAAGTGCGGTTGCAGGGGCTCCCAAACCAATTCGATCAGTTTTGCTCGAGAAGGTGCCAAATCCCACAGCCGATTCATCGTCGCTCGTTAATAGTTCGAGATTAGCATCCCTAGCCAGAAGCGGGGTTTGTTGGTAGGACGATTGGAGGAGGCCGACGGTTGCATGTAGGGTAGGGGGTGTTCGAATAGTTACAATGGTAATTACTAAACCAAATAAGCCAGAATTCTATTAACCATGAAATACAATATCATAACCAAACCGGCCAAACTAATACAACAGCCAAATTAATCAAACTAATTTTTAATCGGTTTGGTTAATTGGTTGACCGGAGTAACTAATATAACACTGCATTATATTTACATGAGAGAAAAATCTCTTGTTAATGCATCAATTAATTCGTTATTTATATAATGAATAAAATATGAGAACCGACACATAGTTAACCATTACAATAATACATGCAACTAAGGGGTTGTTTGGAGAATATGAGTTTAAATCTATAGATTGTCAACAATCTAAAGATTCTAACTCTCCAGATTGTTGAAAACAGATTTTAAAATGTTTATTGTTTGGTAACTGTGATTGTTAACATTCAATTAAAATAAAAAAAAATAATTTTATATTAAATAAAATTTGTATCCTTAATAAAAAAATTAGAGTGCTTCAAAAAATGGTAAAAACTTTGTTGATAGATATATTTCATGTGATAAATAAATAGAAGTAAGAGAAAAACCAGGAGAAAAAATAATCTCACGAATCAAGGTATAGAATCTCTCTGATTATGAGAGATTTGATATCCACAGATTTTAGAGATTTTAAATCTCTAAAGCTAGAATCCATAATACTAAAAGCAACAAAAAAACATAACTTTCTACAAAATCTACGGATTTAGTGAATCCATGTCCTGAATCCTATTGAACGGGTGTGTATGTATGAATTATCTTAATCTCTTAGCAATTACTAGCTCGGTTGAAAAAAACCATTTCCTTTAAGATTTTGCATCCAACATAATGTATGAGTTTTCTCCAAATTATGTGCTCATGTGTTGTTATCTACACTATATAAAACCAAATATAGTATAAGAACATTAATGAGAGGATTTGCCGGAGGGAAGGGGGTTTGGTCTTTGTTTGGTCGATGTCCCGATTAGGGTGGACAATCGGTTCGATAAACTAGAACCGAATCGAACCGAATTAAACCGGATCAAACCAAAATAATGTTATTCGTTTCGGAATTCGGAAATTAGGGTTCTTTCAATCGAACCAAAATTCCGAATTTCCGACTGAAAAACCGGAATACTATAATTGCAATATCCAAATGGTGGATTTTTATGTTTGTAGTTGTGTTTAGACTTAAGTATTTGAAATATTTAATAACTTATGTGTTGAAAAGATTGATTTTTATCATTGATGATGCATATAATTGCATATTTATTGTTTATATTAGATAAAAAATAATATAAAAGTGAGAAGATACAAGTAGTCTCACAAATTCGGTTGTGTGTGAAAAACCGACCGAACCGAATTATAATTCGGTTTAAACCGAAAGAACCGAATTATAATTTGGTTTGAGGTTTGGGAGAATTCGGGGACCCGATATTCATAATTTCCGTTCGGTTGAAACCGAACCGACCGAATGCCCACCCCTAGTCCCGATGGAGGAGAACACGAGGGATAATGGTTAATAAAAATTGCGTAATTTTTTTTTTTTCAATTTTATGGCCACCTTACTCAAAAATTTTACTCGATAATTCATTTGTTAAATCAGAGTCCATTAACAGTTTGCCTAATGGAAAGTTGATGACTTTTCTAATAAATTATTTTTTAAAAGATTTGAATATTATTATTATTATTATTATTTTTACCAATCGATCACTTGTATTACCAAGGCAAAAAACTAGAAAAGTTTACATCTCAAAAGCAAACCAACGACAAAAATCAAAAGTATCTACAACTGCAGACAACAAAGAAAGGGTCTTCCTAGCCACCTCATGGGCCACCCGATTGTTACTCCTGCCAATAAAGGCCACCTCGAAGCGCAGGTAGAGATGTCTTAGCTTCCAAATTTCTTCAAGAATCCGGCCACCTTTCACATCCCGAGTATTCCTGGTCTGAATTTTGTCAATGACGACCTTCGCATCCCCGTAGAACTGCACTTCAACTAGACCCTTCAAAGAGCACCACTGAATTGCATCACGAAATGCCACCAACTCTACCAGAAAAGGATCCTCCAAACCTGCATAACGAAAACATTGCACAAAACACACCCTACCCAACCCATCATACACCACCAAACCCCCCCTCCCCCCAGCTCCATGCGACCCAGTGAGAACAGCACCATCCACATAACAGCGATACGGCATAGCAGGCTGCGGGCCCCAATCCACACCAGCCTGTCCACGCACTTGCTGCACCTGGACCTGCCTACAACCACCAGACTCAATCAAAGCCAACCACTCACGAACTTGCTCCTCAAATTGTCTCACCAGTGTACTCACCCCATACTGAACCTGATCAAACACCACCCAATTCCGACTTTTCCAAATCCTCCACAACAATGCCACAAACCGAATTATCCTCTCTACATTGGTCTCCTGTTCAAAGAATCTGCGAAGAAACAAGGCAAAATTTAATGGAGGCTGCCTCACCTGTCCTGCCCCCAAACCCGACCTCTCTCATAGCCCCAATGCCAGCCGACATGAGAGAAACATATGCTCTAATGTCTCTAACGGCTCCCAACACACCGGACACTTGGGATCAATAGCTGCTCCATGCCCATCAGCCCCAGGATCAGGCTCAATATCCTCCGGTACTCTACATGTCCTCTCAATTATAGCTTTCATAGTAGGAAGGATCCGCTTCATGCACTGCCAAAGAAAACTTTTCAATTTCGGAGGAATGGGAAGCCCCCACAGCTTTTCCAACAAGCCATATCAAAAAAAGAAACATCAGCCTTCCACTCCTGTACCCTTTTAGCATTCTGAAAAGCCAGATGATATCCTGACTTCACCGTATACTCCCCGTCCCCCTCACCTGTCCAGACTTGGAAATCCACCACCCCACCCTTTGGCAATGGTATGGCCTGAATAGCCTGCACTACCGGCCGAGAGAAGCTTTGATTAAGGCATTCCAAACACCATTCACCCTTACCAGGGATGAGCAACGAATCTACCTTTACTCCTGTCAGGTCTGGCGCCGAAGCCTTTAGCTCAATTGCCTCCAGCCCAAATCCCGGGATCCAGTTATCCTCCATAATTCTAACCTGAGACCCTTCCCCAATCTGCCATCGAAGACCTTTAACAAGCAAATCCCTGCCATGAAGAATACTAATCCACCCCCAAGATGGTCTCGATCGACGAGTCGCTGAAAGAATAGACTTCTGTGGGAAGTACTTACCTTTCAACACCCTTGCCAGTAGTGATCCCGGCTCCTGCCAAATTCGCCATGCTACCTTTGCCAACAGCGCCTGGTTAAAGTTCTCGAACCTCCTAAATCTCAAACCACCGTCAAATTTACTCCGGCATAAGTTACGCCATGAAACCCAGTGAGCCTTTTCCTTCTCTCCCGCAAATCCCCACCAAAATCGCGCCATCTGCTTATCCAGTTTACGATACAGAGTCACTGGTAAGAGAAAACATGACATGACATAAATCGGAAGTGTTGCAGCGACCGCCTTGAGAAGCACTTCCTTCGCCGCCCAGGACAATTTCTTCTGCTTCCACCCCTGGAGCTTAGCCAATAATCTCTCCTCCAGGTAGCGGAACGTTTCCAACTTCAATCTCTGAACTAGAGACGGCAGTCCCAAGCATTTGTCCTGAACACCGATCGCTCCTACTCCTAAGATGGTCGCCATCTCCGCTGCATCCGGTGGATCCACATTCTCACTAAAACACACTGCGGATTTACTCAAATTC